TTATCACAAATTCAGCCCCAACTCCTGAGCTCAGACTTAAAAAAAAAAAAAAAAAAAAATAGGAAAGATAACCAAGCAACAGATTCTTGGTTGATTCCCTTCCCTTCTGCTCTTCCTTCAATGACCTGTTGCTGACTGCACTTGCTGCATCAAGCTTTCATGAAGTTTTCCTTGCTCTGTAGTTGAGACTCTCCTCACAATCAGATCTGCCTCTCAGAGTAGTCCATGTTATATCATTCTTTTGGAGTCAAGGCCAAGGAATGCCTACAGTGAGAAGCTACAGAAACAATTTTAAACTGTGTGTCCTTGCCATGTCTCTTATAGTTGCTTTGTCCTGCTTACAGAGGCAGAGGAGTGACTTCCTGTCTTTATGCCAGCAGTGAGGAATTCCAAAGCAAATGGATGTATTTTGCTCTATTTTGTGTGAAGCGCTACACATTCTTTCATGAGATAGTGTTTCCAGTGCTAGGGTTTCTCATCTTAATAGGCAGAAGCTGTCTGGAAACACTGTCCAGCCTGAAAAAGCTGATATCCAACCTGGTAAGCAGAGATCTGACAAGTGCTTGTAGGGATCTTTGTATCCTTCTCCAGGAACTCTTGGCAGCTTAAGGAAAAGATCTACTTTGTGCTTTTTGCTGGGAGAGGTGGTAATGAAAACCACAAGGTCCCAGGATTTGGTCCCTGAGAGCTGAGTGAGAGGACTTTGCTAGCCAGTCTTTACATCAGCTGTATGGTTAAAAATACATGAACAGTAGTATAATCTGCACTGTCTTCCTCCATCCCAGTTCTCCCCTTGCCCACAGGGAGGCTGGCTATACTGGGAATTAGGTCATGATGATGAGGAGGAAAGGCAGGAGTCTGATTCTTGGATTGTAAGGCTGTGCTGCCTTCCTTCTTTTTCCAGGATGCAAAGTGCTCTGTGCTACCCTGGCAGAGGATCAGTGATCCCTTCATCAGTCACTTATATCCTTTTGTCAGTTCAGGATCAGTCTGTGTGCTGGCACCAGAGGCCTGAGCAGCAAATGAGGGAGGTCTTCTGCCTTTTTCCAGAGGGAGGACCCAGACCTGAGTTCCAGCAGCCTCCCAAAATATGCTCTCTTTGTGTGCTGCCCTGTGTGCACAGGTGATGTGCATGCCCTGCTGTGGGCACCCTGGCATTTTGCTGTCCCACAAGCAGTGAGGTGAGCTGGAGATGCCTCAGCTGTGGCTTCAAGCCTTACCCAGTGCTGCACAAACAGGATTTTCAGGTCCTTGTACTCTGCCCATATGGGCTCATACAGCTCAAACATGGCTGTGCAAGGAGAGACCCTCTACAACAGGGGGCAACTCTCCAGTTCAGGGAGAAAGCTAGTGCTGTTAGTCAAAAAAACTAGGGAAAACATATTGTTAAGGGACCATTCAAAACATTTAATTTTCAGACATTATAAAATGCACAAATATGCCTTTTAATTATTTAGAGATGATAGTGCCAGTTCTTGCAATGTAAAAGCAATCCAATTTTGTCTGACAAAAAATTGGTATATTTTGCATCACCTTCTCCCCCCTGCCCCATTCCTTATATTGGTTGCTCTTTGCGCTGTTTTGAAAATGGTTGTCTGTCCAAATAGCAGTTTTTATGAATGAGAAAGAAATGTGTTGTCATCACTTCCTGTCAGAGGAACCTGCAAGGCACACTTCATGTTTATTGGCTTGAAAGTCTGCCTGTATGGGTGTACATCTTGGTCTGTTGGCAGTGGCATTTTTAGGGCCGTATAAGATGGCTGAGATCCAGAGGCCCTACAATCACAGGATCACGGAAAAGTTAAAGGTTAGAAGTGATCCCTTGAGATCATCTAGTCCAATCCTTCTCAAAGCAAGGTCAACTAGAAAAGTTGCCCAGGACCAAGCTCCAAGAATGGAGATTCCCCTATGTTTTGGGTAACCTGTGCCAGTGTTGGACAGCCGACGCAGAGAAAGTGTTTCATTGCATATAAATGGAGTTTTCTGAGTTTCGCTTCATACACACTACTTCTTGTACTGTTGTTGGGTGCTGCTGAGGAGAATCTGACTCTGTCTTCTCTACTACCACACTGAAGTGTTGGTATGCATTGATAAGATCCTTCTGAGCTTCTCTAGGTGAAGAGTCCTGGCTTTCTCAATAATTGCTCCTTTGTGCTTGGTGACTCCTTTCTGCAGAAGAGGCTTGAATCTTCAGACTACACTCTCTCCCAACTCAAGAGCAGTATAGCTAGAATTTCCTTGCAGCCAGGCAATTTAGTTCCTTTTGGAAAGATAATAGTCCTGCTGTAGGAAACAACGGCTGCATACTGCTGCATCTAGACAACACAGTGATTCCCCCACTCCCCTGCTCCTGGTGTGAGTAAACCTAACCACTAAAGCTGTAATGAGCATGAAATTGTTTGAGAGCTCTGCACCTCTGGGGCTGTTTGGGGAGCTAGCCAGTTGCACATAACCTCAGCTTACTCTCTGCCTGTGAATATCCCTTCTTCCAAGATCAGCTTTCAGGATTGCTGCTTTCTTTTTCAAATAACTTGCATTTTGTTTTTGTTTGGCACAGGTGGCTCTCACTGTATAAAAGATTTAGGCCTTTGCACCTAATGTTTTCTGTGGAAGAGATTTATTCAGCTAAAAATAAGACAAGTCAGGGTTAGCATAGGTAAGACATGCTGCGGTAAAAGAGCAACAAAGATGACTGTGAGAGCAATGGGTGATCTGCTGGACTCTTACAGGCATGTGTATTTGTCTTAGGTGGGGCTGGCTCTGAGCTGTGTCAGTAGAATTGTGAGGATGCAGAAAATAGGATAGAACTTGTGTCCTAGTACTTTTCACAGCCCACACAGCCAACACAGTGTGACACAGGATATGAGCTTTGTGGATCTTTCTATTGATGAGAGCTTGTAAAGCTCCAGTTTGTCTGCCCAGTATCAAGCCATACAGTTTCTCAGCCTTTGATAGTCATCCCAATAGGATGCAATGCCATGCCAGCAACATGGACATTTTGGTTTAGGATTGCTTAGACCTCTGCTTGTCAGGTGATGATGCAGTTGGCTTCCTGACACTGAGTACCTGCATGCTTCCCTTCAACCATGTGAGCGAGCTGTCTCAGCCTTGCTGTAGCTCAAAAGCTACTTAGTTGGGTTGCCTTGTTAAATTGGAGTATTATTGATCCAGCATCACTGATAATACTGTTCACAAAATGAACATTAAAGTGTGTGCACCGTATGGGGCAAAACCATGCCCTCTGCCAGCATCTGCCTATATTCTCAGCTGTTGTGAGGTGCTCTTTCACACATAGTCTTCCTGCCTGCTTTGCATTTCTTTTCATTTGGCCAGTAGAATCTTCTCACTACACTCACCAGATGCCTTTTGCTCTCTAAATCTTGTCGGATCTGGATTTAATAGTCTTAATAACCTTTTCTGACCAACACTGATAGTTTCTTGTTTGAAAATGGCCAGTTGAAGGACAGGATTCTACCCCTCTACTCTTGTGAGACCCCACCTAGAACAGTGTGTACAGTTTTGGTGCCCCCAGCATAATAATGACATGGAACTGCTGGAGCAAGTACAGAGGAGGGCCTCAAAATTGATAAGAGGACTGGAGCACCTCCTCTATGAAGACAGGCTGAGAAAACTGGGGCTGTTCACGAGAAGAGAAGGCTGCTGGGAAACCTCATAGCAACCTTCCAATATCTGAAGGGTTTACAGGGAAGGTGGAGAATGACTTTTCATCAGGAAGTGTAGCAGTAGGACAAGGACTAATGCATACAAACTGAAAGAGGGGAAAATTAGATTAGATATTAGGAATAATTTCTTTACTGTGAGGGTGGTGAGATACCGGAACAAATTGCCCAGAAAAGCTGTGAATGACCCATCCCTGACACTGTTTGTGGCTGGTTTGGATAAGGCCTTGAGTAACCTGGTCTAGTGGGAAGTGTTCTTGCCCATGTCAGGGGTGTTGGAAGGGAACAAGGTCTCTTCCGACCCAAACCATTCCATGACTCTGTAACTCTACAGTTTTATGAAATCAGTTCCATCAGTTCCATTAAGCTTCACTGCTCTCTATGAGAAGGGATTTTTGTGTTTAGCATGTTTTATGTGTCATTTAAACACCATTTAAAATGCTGTCTGACAGATGGCTGTAGTGCAGTTATAAACCAGACACACAGAATATAATTGTCTGTGGAAGAAACATCAACAGGTGACTGTCCTTGTGATCTGTCAAACTTCTTTTTTTTCCATTCATGTGAGCAAAATTTAGAATAAGTTTTGGTCCTGAACCACCTGAGGGCCACACAAAGCGTGCATCCAGACTGGCTTGTTTACTCACCATCTTTCCTGCTTTCCTTACCCAAGATGTTGTATTTTTCACACTTTTCTGAGCTCTATTGCACCAGAATTCATCTCCTCTTAAACTTGCTGCCATGTGACCCTGCCCCAGCTATAGGGACTGCTGGCACATGCACCAGCTAGCTGGTGATGGTGAGAGCTGTCATTCTTCCCTGCACTCTCCTCTCTCCATCAGAGATGTGAACAAGGTTACGGCAAAGGGGTGGACACCAGAGAAAACTCTCTACATCTTGATGGCTGAGGCTTGGTGTGAGCGGCCCAAATGGGGAGGGTGAGCCTGTGGTGGGGAGAGGGGAGTGGGGCTCTGCAAGCCTTGCCAGGATGGCCTGTCCTTATGCCTTGGGACATTGTGTTTCTCTCCTTGCAGATGTCGTGGCATCCATGGTACCGCAGCTCCAAGTTCCGCCACGTGTATGGCAAAGCCGCCAGCAAGGATAAGTGCTACGACTGCATGCCCATCACCCTCAACGTCCATGACAACAACTTCTGTGCCGTGAACCCCAACTTCATCGCAGTGGTGACTGAGTGTGCGGGCGGCGGCGCCTTCCTCGTCATTCCCATCAATCAGGTGAGCTCCCCAAGGCTAGCTGGCTTTCGAGAGATCATCAAGATGCTGGAGGAGGGACAGGCTTTCTAGGGAGCTAGATCACAGGGGATATTCAGTTAATATGTGAATGTTGCCCAAATTGCAAAATGATGAAAGAGGCCTGAGTTGCCTTAGCTGGTGATCCTGGCATGTGTGTATTTATATGTCTTGCATTGCTGCTTGCAGATTTTTAACACCTTGCTTCATTTTACAACTCATTTGCCTTTCTTGTATAATCAGCATAATGTTCTGTTCAGATGTTTGTCTCCTGGGAGAAACTGCAAATTAAAAACTATTTAGTGGATACAGAGGGCAAAACCAGAAAAATGCTTTAGCGACATGGATTCAGCTGTAACCAAAGGAGAATATGATATGTTTTATTCTACCGTCTCCTTTGTGAAAGAATGAAGACATAGTTAACAGGCAATGAAGCTCTTAAACTCAAGCATTGATGCTGTGAAGACTTCTCTTTCAGAAACAAATCCCATGTATATGAGTTTTGATGACTTAGGATATGATGAGAGAGAGAAGCTGGCCATCTGACGTTTATTGCTTCAGTAAAATTAGGCATGCACTGATGTGGATTAACTTCAATATGAGATTATGATCTCTCTGGAATCAGGACATAACAGATGAAAGGCAAAAGTTCAGCCTTTAATTAAAAGTTAATTGATGGTGTTATTGCAATGCCACTTTTTCAATATATATTTGCTAAGGATGAAAGTGAACTGGTTGTGCTTGAAGAACCTAGCACAGTTTCCGGCCCTTCTGGACTTTGTTAATTCATTCCTTCACTGCTGGTGCTGTTTAGAGACTGTCCTTCTAAAATTAACCACTACCTTGTTTTTCTTGACTGAGTCTCTTCTGCCCCCGCAGTGATGGTCTATTGAGACTCAACAACTTGTCTTTATCACAGAGCTTCATCTGTAAGCAGACAGCTGTTGACTGTGGGATGTGGTGTGGGACCAAGCTCTCAAAGCGCTGGCAAAAGTAGTTGAAAGTGCTTGCACTGCTTACTATTAATTTTTCAGTCTTTTCACTTCTTCTTAGCTTGGCTTGTCTTTGTAGTAATTTTTCCTTCTTACACCTGCTCAAATACTCCACCCAGTTCTGAAATATTGCATGCAGAAATCAAAGGCATGGTAGAACTAAAAAGATACAGAAAAGGATAATTAAAGTATGTCAATGAAAATTTGAAAGTACTTTCATGTGAGGAAAGACTTTGCAGGTCAGGCTTCAATCTGTCTGGGAAAAAAGGCATATGAGCAAGATGTATAAAGCTGAGAGAAGAAGAAGTTTAAGGAGCAACTCTTCTTGATTTGTTTGGTGAAGGGGATTCTGGAGACCAGGGAGCAGAATGTTAGCAGCAAATGTAAATGCTGCTGCAGTTCTTATGTGGGGCTCACTGTTCTGGATGCTGATGAGTCTGCATGAATTAACTGATTCAAAATGGAGCTATGGAGAGGAGTTGGTCCCTTGAGGGTTAACCTTTGGTTGTGAATCAGAGAAATTAGGTGCTTCACACAGCTGTTCTCTGAATACCAGTTCCTGACCCATGCTGGGGGTTAAAGCAGCCTCAGACATCCAAAGAAAGAGATTTTCCAAGTTGGGACCTTCGATACCGGCCACTTTTTTTTGTTTGATGCACTTCCAAAGTGGTACCCCCTGGTTCAAAGCAGAAACTTTTGACTTGTACTTCTGATGATGTGTTTTTTTATGACTGCCATTTCCCCCTGTGATGGTGAGCCATGGCAGACAGTCTACTGGACACTTGGCTTGTGTCCTCAGATGAAAGGCAACAAAGACAGCCTATTCTGGAGATGTGTCTGGGACAGTATTGCCCTCTTACAATGGACAGCTGACTGTGGTACTGTGGTTACTGACTGGATTCACGGGAAGCAGACACATTCCAAGTGTGACAAAGCGTGGAGGAAGAGCCCAATAGCCCAAGAGCCAGGATGTCACACATTTGGTCAAAGCAAGAGATAGTAGCCAGGACAGGGAGGGCTGCACTTGCTGAAGAGGATAAACAACCTCTTCAGGGAGGGAGCTGTTCTTGTCCCTCCCTCCAATGCTTTCTTTAGTTCATTCTGCATGTGTTGTTGCTGGAGGGGCTGTCTGTCTAAGGATGTCCTTGAATGAAGCCTCAGCTTTGCTCTGTTTGACTGCACCTCCTTGCTTGTTTGTTGTACTCCTCTCCCGCTGAGTCATAGACACCCAGCTCTCTCATCTGTCCTTGAATAAATACCACTTCTTTCCTTCTGCACTAGTCTTCTTCTGCGAGAGCCTGGGGGTGAGGTAGGGCTGGGGACAGTAGAGGTTGTGTAGAGAATGAGTTCTTTGCCCTAGATACCATCCTTTCAGTAGGCTTTTGCATTCAACCTTATAAGAAATTAGTTGAATATTTGCCATCACTTTGGAAGTGGGCTGTTGCAGGATGTGTCAGTGATGTCCTGGTGAGTATGTGCCACTGAAACCAGCTGGGTGGAGGGCAGCACATCTCAACAGAGAGGGAAAGGGCCGTGGCCACAGAGGCTGCCTGGTGCCCAGAACAGGCTGACTGACTGTAAATCTTGCAAGTTCAAGGAGATGAGCTCAGTTACTGTAACTGAGGGATCAACTGCTTTCCCACAGTGTGGCCTGGGTGTAAATGTGCTGAGGAAGTACATGCATAACATGCCTAGGAAAGATCTTGACGGGAAGGAAATTTCGTAGCCTTCCTTTGAAAGATGAAGTCTTGCCTTTTTCCTTCTCTGATGGCCAGACTCGGTTGAGACTGCATCTGTCTCTTCCTCTGCAGCAAAAGGAAAGTGAGAACAAAGTCCCAAGAGACCGGAGATTATTTGCACCCTGGTCTGCAATCTCCAGTCTTTCAACGTGTCAGCACCAGGTGTGAAAGGGAGGACATCTGTGGCTGTGCAAACCTCCTAGACACAAACTCCCCTCCCTTCTCTCTGTGAACATGGATTGTAAAATGAAACTGTTGATAACCCCTCCAGCCCTATGTAACTGACCCATATGTGAGCACTGTGCTGGTGCCCTTTAGGGGCAGAGGTGGGGCTGACCTACCTCCCAGTAATCTACCCTCTACAAATCTGCTGGGAGAGTTTTAACAGATGTTCTACTATAAGTGATTTTTGTCAGAGAGTTCCAAGCTTTTCAGAAATGCTAGAATTTTAGAAGGGGAGTGGTTGAAAAACTACTCATTTTCAAGCTCTGCAGGCAACTGAGGAAGTCAGGTACCACTTCATGGAATGACAACACATGTAGTTACTGAAATAATTTTTAATCTGTAGAATGAAATTTCCTCCAGCAATGAAGATCTTTACCTCCACATGCAGATGTGCACCTGAGAACAGCAGCTCTAGCTTTGTGTTATGTATGTTTGCTGGCTCTTGGGGAGTTTGTGTGTGGTGAGTCCTGCTCTGTCCCAGGGATTGCAAGTGAGACTGGTGGCTGGGAGAACAAGGGCTCCTTTTCCAAAGCTTGTTGGGGAAGTGGGAGAGCTTTGAAGGATGGGTCGGGCAAAATGGGCTTAGGACAGCCTGGGAGTCTCCCAAAATGGAGTGGGGAGTGCAGTTAGGCACCTAGCTCCAGGAGGGGAGAGAGTTCCTTTAGGGATCAAGGGATCACTGTGGATCCAGCTGTCCAGTCCTTTTAGTTGTCATCTTGAAACCAAGCTCTGAAGCCTACAAAAGGACACTGTGGGTGGAGGAGTGCTTCTTATTAAAGGCCTTTTATCTCTCTTCTGCCTTCCCAAATCTCTTTGCATTGTCGGTGTTATAAAAGGGAATTGTTTTAGACTGTAGTTTTAAAAAACACAGTCTTTTACATTTCAAAGCCCTTTGGATGTTCAGTTTAAAGCAGGTTAGTCTCAGTTTATGCAACAAACTTTCCAGTGAAGCCAGAATAGTTACTGATGTCCTTTTTTGTGTTCAAAATTGCAAAAAACCCCCAGAATTTAAAAGCTGGGAAAATGATATCCTATCCCCAGGCTGATTAGGGGCAGCAGTGATTCCCCTGGGCTCTGCTGTCCTAAGGCCCGCCTCTGGAGAGGGATGTAGTACATCTACAGAAGTGTCTGCTTTCTAGGAGAGCACACCTTTGCAATCATTTTGGTCTACAGTTCTTCCAAGTAGGAAGCAGTAGGCTGGTAAGCACCACCAGCTTGCCATCATGTCCCCCTTCTTAGGTGACTGACTTCTGCTCTTGAGCTGATGCCTGGGGTGGGTGCTCCCGTTACTTCTGCTTCTTACAGAGGGAAGCAAGCGTTGCTTCAATGTTAATAAAATCACCACCACCCTTTCTACCATTGAAATATTTAGACTTACAGCAGAGACCATGCCGGCAGTGTGGGTTTATTCAATGTAATACAGCCCCCATGTGGCACAAGGCTCTCAATACACCTTAGGGAACTTGGTGCGGGAGCTGTACCAGTGCAGATGCAACCTAAATATGATATATTTTTTTTTCCTTTGAGAGTCCAGAACGCTGATTGAATTTGGTAAAGGGCTGGATTTGAACACCATCAGAGAGAAATAGATAGCTTGCTGAAAGAAAAACTTCATAATTTGTAATCTGTGTCACAAATACCTTTTTGCTAAATCCAAATCCTAAACCATTTTTTTTGCTGCTTGTTGCAAATGTCTTCTGAAAGAAAGTTTGCTGTTGTTTGTCTCCCCATTAAAAGATCTTTAAAAAATGTCGAAGATTCATGTCATTCATATATGTTTCTCCTCCAAGTTACATTTTGGTGTCTGAACCTAATACTGTTTTCTAATACATATGTAAGCATGGACAGAATTTTTTTCACAGCAGCATGTACTTAGGAAGGCCTGGACAGTCTTTCTTTATGGTGATATTATCAAGACATAACTAGCAAAACCCCATTTTGGGACAGCAAAACCCCATTCTTAACAGACAGAGAGCACCCAGGGCTTCGAGGACAACAAGCAGAAAGAAGTTTCTTTCTGGAGCTGCCTTGAAAATCTCCTGTAATTCCATAGCTCACCTTAGGTTTGATTATATTTTTTTTTTCCAGACAGGCAAGCTTGATCCACATTATCCCAAAGTGTGTGGGCACAAAGGAAATGTTCTGGACATCAAGTGGAACCCATTCAATGACTTTGTAATAGCTTCGTGTTCAGAAGATGCCACAGTAAGTTTACCACCTTGTATTCTGTGTTAGTACCTGGCTAATGTGCTTTTTGGAGAATGAAGTTAAAAGAAACCAAAAGCTCATGGATGAGATGTGAAAGCATGCATATACTTATTTGAGAAGTCAGGTAAGAGTAAGATTCCTTTCTTTCCGCTGAGTTCAGACCTGTGTGATGCTTTCCAGGTGATACACCAATTCATTATAATGAGGAAGATCTGTTTTGTGGGAGCTTATGTCTTTTTTTGGTGTGTTTGTTTGGTAACCAAACTTGAATGGCTATTCAAGTTTAATCTCTCTGAAACTCCGTCTGTACTTTAGAATAAGAGCTTCAACACAACATAATCTGGACCAGTTCTTTCAGATTAAATCCCTGCAGAAAAGAGAATTCCCTGAGCTTGTTCCAGCACTCAGGTGCTCTATAAAGTCATGCTGGATCAGTTGTGGTGAGGAATTTGTATCATACAGTTCTGCATCATACAGTGGATGCTCTGGCTGGAGTTAGTATGGTTAGGATGCAGACACCATGGCAATTGAAAAAATCAAGTAATGTTTGTAAGGGACAATTTAGCTCATATTTACCTACTGGAAGGTCACTTGAAAAGGTCTTGTAAAAAGTGTGATGTTGATGTCTTCGATAGTGAGGACATGCTTTTTTCCAGAGATCCCATATGAGATCCCACTGGGTTTATTCTCACTCTGTTGTACAGCATCTGGGAGGTTTCTTTTGTCATTTTCTCCAGCCCTGGCTTGGTTCACATGCTCTGCCATTTTAGTTCTGCCAAGAAGTCACTCTTGATTATAAGCTTTTTGGATTGTCTTTCCTGTTCAGTGACTCAGGAAGTATGGCATAACATGGCTTACTTGTGGCAGAGGGCACTGCCTTGGTCACTCTTTTGAGCCTCATATGAGAAATGAACACCATCTTCAAAACATCCCACTGCTGTTACAGAATCGCAGAAGTGTTTGAGTTGAAGGGATTTCTTTCACCACCTCTCTGGGCAACCTGTTCCTGTCCTTCACTCTTCCCATGTGATTTTTTTTCCTTCCAGTGTAGTTAATAACTGCTGTACCCTGTTCTCCTACCCCGCATTTCAAGATAGAGCCTGGCTCTATTTTCTCAGTAGTCTTGTAAGTATTGAGGGCTTTTATCAATTTACCTGGAAGCTGTCTCTTCTCCAGGCTGACCAAGCCTATCTCCCCGAGCTTCTACTCACAGGGTAAAGAGCTGTAGACTCCTGAGCACCCTGGTGGCCTCGTCTGGACTCACAGATTTATCCACTTTCTTACACTGGGGGGTACAAAACTGGACTCACTATCCCCAGCTTTCCTTTTCAATTTTCTCTAGAAACTTCTGGATCATTCTTCAGACTAAAGAAACACAAAGCATGTCACTGGTGTCAGTATCAAAAGTTGTTCCAAGAAGTCTGTTTGTGACTGTACTCTGTTTTTACTACTCTCCCATCCTCATCCTAGCACCAGGAAATGGTATCTTAGGGGTCCTCTGCACTGTGACATAGAGACATCACCTCCCTGCCTGTTAAGTAGCAAGGACAGCAGACTGTTTCTTGGTGTATCTTTCCTGATACCTTGTAGCTAGACCTTGGAGGTCACTTCCTGACTCCAACTCTACTCCTACTCAAAGAATTGGGTTGCTCCAAGGCTTGCTCCGATGAGGTGGGAAGATCTCTAAAGCTACAGATCCTGTGGCCTCACTAGGTCCTTCTTCCAGGTGTTGAGTATCCTTCAAGGGAAAATGGGATACCTCTGACCTCCAGGCATTGCTGTATTGCCGTGTACATTCATTGCATTTGATGCTCTCCTTGTGTACCTTCAAAGAGTTTAGCTGCCTGTTCTCATACTATGTAGTTGAAGGGCAGCCAGAGACTGGACAAATTGTTTTCTTTCCAGCTCTCCTTATTTGCTGTGCTGCTGTCTCCTTCTCATCTCATGTCTGCTGTTGGACTCATTCTGTGGGGTCAGCATCTTACTCAACCTGGCCTGTTCTGGAGAGCTCAGATTGGACATACTGTTGAGACATCTTCACAGCAATACTTCTCTGTTTTAAGAGAAGCTTGAGAAAGGTTTTTTGAGGGTCACAGAAGTGTCCATCACTTCCACTGGGCTGGACATGAGAGGAAAAACCTTCCTTCCAGTCTGCTGTTAAAAGCCTGGTGCTCTCTTCCATCTCTGAGCATTAGTAAGCCACTGTGCAAGTAAGACTTGTGTGCAAAGATGCATCTAATTGCTTACTGGGCTGGACCTCCCTCTGATGAAGGCTACAAGCTTCTGAGTAGACAATGGAAGTTTCACTTCTCCCACATTTCTCAGAGGTTTCTTGACCAGTCTTGCTGGAGCTTGCCTTGGTGGCAGTGCTGTTACCAAAGACTGGTAAAAATAAAAACTCCTTAATGCTAATGTAGCATTAAGAAGCAGACATTCTTTATTCAGCCAGATGCATGAGGGGATGTCTCCTCTGAAATATCATGCATGCTGACTACAAAAAACACTCCTGTTTAGGTACTATATTTTATGTACATAGTCAGTGATTTTTCCCTGATAATAATAATTTCCCTCAAATCAGTAATATATTTTCTCTCCCTTTTACACATGCATTCTTCTGTCCTGGGGATCTCTTTGGTCATCCCTGGTGGTTGGTGATTCCCAAAGTCATACTTGACTGCCTGATCAAATGGTAAAAGTTGGCACAACTGGGCTGGTTGCAGTTCTTCTTACAGAATGGGCATTGTGCAGTTCCACAGGCCACTGGTTTTTGAAGAATAGGCATTGTGTTAGCCCACCAGGTGCAGACAATTTTTCATCTGGCAGCACTATGGCTGTCTATTGTGGCGCGTAGCTGGAGCTATGTAGAATGGCACTTTTGGGCATGGGAAGGATTGTATGTTCTCTGTGAACACTGAGTTCCAGTTCCCACTGCTGTTTCAGGCAGGCTTAGGACAGAGGCCAATGCAAATGCCTAGGGGCTGAGAGTTTGTCCTCTTACACACCTTCTGTTCTTCTTGGCAAACCATCAGGCATGAAGAGTTCAACTTGTTGAAGACCTGATCCCTTCTGCTTAGAGGGGCAACTCCATGCCTTTTACTTCATTTTACCAGGCTTTCTTCAAGATGTAGCAGGGTAGACAGATTGTTCATGCTTGGATTGTCCATCCTTGCCCTGCAGGCCTGAGTCCAAGATCTGCTTATTCTGCACACTAAAGAACTGGCAATTTCTGCCATTTAATGCAGCTTGATATTCCCCAGCCAGGTGCTTTTCTCTGCTTTTATCACAAACCATTTCACAGTATGAGTGGATGGTTCATTCTAGGCAGGTCTTGTCAGCATGAACACAACCTCTTTTTCCCTTTTCTAGTTTCTCAGCCCCATTCCTTTAGTGATAGCAGTTGAAAGTGTAAAGAAACAAGTCAGTCTGATTGTAAAGTGTGATGTTTTCTCTAACTGCTGTAGATGTTCATGTGGGTACAGCTGGACTCTACAGTCATTATGTTTCTAGTGAGTTTGTTTCCTTATTGGGATAAACACTGCTGAGGAGAGTGCTTATGATATTTTCCAGGAGGTCCCAGAATTTGGGTTGGCTTCTTATTTGTCTTAGAAAGGAGTGATCCAAATCAACCAAACAGTAGGAGACTTAGGCAGCTGTGGCTGATTTCCACAAATTATGTTCCAAAGAGCATTTTGCTTTTGCTTTAGGCTAAGAACTAGAAAAATTATGACACAAGCATAGTAATTTTCATTGAGCCAAAGGATTAATCATCTGCCAGCATCCTAAATACTTGTGTTTCTAGGGTTAGTGTGAGAAAGGCTCCTTTTATACCCCCAGAGGTTCAGCCGCTCTTGCTGGTTTCCTCTATTGTTTTCTTCCACCCCGGGAGGACAGAGCGTATTTGTCTTCATGTAGCAACCTTCTAGAAGGATCCAGAGCTGTAGGTGGGCCTGTTACAAGAAGGCATGCTCCCAGTGCTGAGTGGCTTCAGTGAGGTGCAGCCTGGTGTCTCTGCTAAGGGTGTCTGTTTTGAGGCCACCTGCGTGGTGTTCTGTGAACTTTGACAAATGGCTGTGTCATTTGCAAAGCATTCAGCACTGGCACAGCTTTCTGTGAGACACGTTAGTATAGCTGTCACCTGACCAGAGGAGTTCTCAGTTCTTCTGCCAGGTGACATTGAATGGATCCTCAGGACCAGGATGAAGAGGGCCAGTAGAGTCAGAGAGGATTGAGCTTGGATCAATCACTGCTCTAATATAACAGAATCACAGAATGATAATATCTTTTGGGATTCAGATTTGCTGGCTCCTACTCAAAATTTGTTAAGAGTCAAGGTCTGCAAGACCAGTGGTTTACTTCTTCCTCTTGGGAATATCTTTTCATAACTGTGCTGACAGGTCTAAGGGTTGAATTGCCAAATTTAAAGAAACCCTGGCAGGATTGCTGTCTAAAGATAGAACATAAAGAGGAATCTTCAGGTCCACAGAAGAGTAAAGATGCAAATGATGAACATTCAAAAAACCAGGTGCATTCCTATTCACTGCAAAGGGCATAGTAATTCCAAGGCAGTTGATAGCTATTGGTAAATTCCAAACTAGCTCCTTCTCAGGAATCTGACAAAGACCTATCCTATGCCATTCAGGTTAAAATCTGGGACATCCCAAATCAGTTGCTAAAAAGAAACATTACCACTCCGAAGAAAGAACTTCTTGCGCATACTCGAAGAGTCGGTCTGATTGAATGGCATCCCACAGCTGATAACATCCTCTTCAGCTCTGGCTATGACTACAAGGTGGGTCCGTGCTCCTAGGACACCCTGTTTGGCTGGATGTTTTAAAATTTGTTTTAATAAGCTGTAAGATGGTACTAAAGAGTTCGGAAGCTTTCTTCAGGGGAAAATTCCATGGTGACTGAAAGGCAAAAGGATATTGCTACAAGTTCAAAAGGAGTCTTATTTTTCAGTCCTCTGATGAACTTCAGTCTACTCTGCACTTCTCATTTACTGAATTGGATACAGCATGCAGTGCCATCCACTTTTCTTTGTGCTAATGCATATATCTGCACTGATGTTGTCTATTTTAATGTATAAAATGTGGTTGCAAAGGAAATTAAAATACTGTACATTCTTAGCTGACACTGATACATTGCTCTTAGTATCAGGAATTATTTTAAGTGGTGGAGAGCAATCACTTATGATAGTAAAACCTGTACATGTAGAGAAATGACAAAGAAGTGAATAGAGTATACAAAGTCCCTGGTGTGTGAGGCAGCAAAGAGCTGATTTTTTTTATTATTTTTGCTCCAGATAATGATCTGGAACCTTGAAGTCAAGGATGCTATTCTTCAAAAGCCAGTGAAGATTCTTGATGCTCACAAAGATGTGGTCCTCTCCATGTCATTCAACACAGATGGCAGTCTCCTTGCCACTGCTTGCAGGGACAAAAAGATACGTGTGATAGACCCTCGTGCTGGAACAGTCCTACAGGTAGGTTGGGTTCAGAGTTTTATGGTTCATCTGATCTCACCTCGGAGTGTTTCTTCTCCTGGGTAGCTTCATTGCCATAAAAGGTGATGCATCTGTGCCCTGCATTGCCCAAGGCACTATACTGTGCTGTTCCCTTCTACTTCCATGGAATGCTTGCTGTCATTGTTGAAAATAGGGATTTTGTATCTTGATACCATGTTTTTTGCTCTTTGAAACCTTATTTGGATTATATTGTTTTCATAGGTGCAGCCCTCTGAGGGACATCATGGGAGGGAAGGTAGAGATCAGGTGGACAGGTGGATGCAAGTGTACATTTGTCCCAATGATCAAGGTTGTTCTTGTTGCCTGGATTTTGTTGGCTAGGTGAAGCTGTCTGCATTTTGTAGCTGTTTGGACAGGTTTGTGTACACAGGTAGTCCTGCCTGCAACTATCAGAGACTACTGTACTGCAAATATGTGAATCAATAGTTAGGGAGGTGAGATTGGCTTAGCTGGTCAGAGCAGGGTGATGATAACACCAGGGCTGTGGGTTTAATCCCTGTATGGGCCATTTGCTTAAGAGCTGGACTTGATGGTCTTTGTGTGTCCCTTTTGACTCGAAATATTCTATGATCTATGGTTGAGCTTTTGGGAGTGATTCTGAAGAGTTTAGGCCACTTTTTTCAGATGCCTGTGAAATCCTGCTCACTGTAGTTCAGCTGAACTTTCAGAACTTTCTGGGCTGAACAGATCTTTCAGATGTGGGTGAATGTGAGTTGTCATGCAACATGAAATGTAGCTATGCAACAGATGTCTTACTCATGCAATGTCCTTTCTCTTCTACAGGAAGGAAGCTACAAGTCTCACAGAGTCAATAAAGTCTTATTCCTTGGAAACATGAAAAAGCTGTTTTCTACTGGAACGTCTTGGTGGAATAATAGGCAAATTGCATTATGGAATCAAGTGAGTTGGACTAAAAATCTTAAACATACCAGCTTCAGTTTTCTCTCTTTTGCTGTCACTTTAACTTTCCACCTGCCACATACACAAGAATTGATTTATAACAGCAATTCAGAAGTGATCTGTCAGATTCCTGAAGGGTGATAATTCTTACTGCTGTGAGGTCTAACTGAGTTTCTGGAGAAGTTTTCAACATAGAAGCCTAAGAGAACAATGTGAATGCTGTGCCCGTGTTCTGGTTTTGGCTGGGATAGAATTAATTTTCTTCTTAGCAGTTGGCACACGGTTGTGTTTTGGATTTAGTATTGAAAGCACACTGACCTTTGGGGTGCTGCTAAGTAGTGCTTACGCCAAGTCAAAGACTTTTCAGTGTCTCATGCTCTGCCAGTGTGCAGGTGCACGAGAAACTGGGAGGGAGGATATCCAGGACAGCTGAGCTGAACTCAGATGGCCAAAGAGATATTCTACCCCATAGAATGTCATGCTCAACTTGGGGGAGTTGGCCAGGAGCTATGGATTGCTACTCAGGGACTGGTTGGGTCAGTGTGTGGTGAGTGTGTGTTGTCCATCACTTACTTTTCTTGAGTTTTATTCTTCTCTCTCCCTTTTCATTATAATTGTTATTGTTCTATTTTTTGGTGGTTTTTTTTTTTTTCCCCAATTACTGAGTTGTTCTTTTCTCAACCATGGATTTACCTTTTTCTGATTCTCTTCCCCATCCCACTAAGGGGAAGTGAGCAAATGGCGTGGTATTTAGTAGCTGACTGAGGTTAAACCACAACAGCCCACTACAGGAAGAGATTGTTCAAAGGACCTCTGTATGGTTACAGTAGCTCTGACTTAACATGACTCTTACTGGTCTCACTGGCAAACTGGTCCTGGTGCTGGAAAGAGAAATGAGCTCTAGACACAGTCTACTCAGAGGAAGCCCTCAGTGAAGAAAAGTGTGTTGGGTGCTTTTGATTTCTGATTCCTGAGGGTAGAGTACTGAGGTAGTGCTTATCTGGTCCTTTCCAAGACATGGTCTCCTGTCAGGATGGCTGATAGCCTTATTAAACCCTGCTCTCATCTACCCTTTCATATGCAGTGAGATGCTTTTACTTTGTGTCCCTCATTGCATCAACCACCATGCAGCACAATCTTTGGTCTCTTTGTAGTGCTGTCACGCTTCGTTACCAGACAAAGCTGGTAGACTAGGCCTATGATTTGATATGTTTTGGCTGTGTTTGGACGTGGCTCTGCACATGCGAGAGGCAAAGCTCTATGCTGCTGTCTGAAGGCTTTTCACAATGCTTAGCAGTGCTGTGACACTTCATGGGTGTCATGTCAGGGTTCTACATACTTGGTTTAAGAACACAGTGGGAAGATCTGTGAGGCAAGGTATGTAAAGCCTCCTTAGGAACAGGGATTGGCACAGGACCTGCCCGGCAGGCCTCTTCCTCAGGTCCACACCCATCTTTGCATCTAAATGGAAGCTCTGGCTTACTGCAGCCTGCAGCTGGTCAGTTCTGCAGGAGAAAATGTGTGTTAACCCTATGCTAAATACATGTTTATGTGAGAATCACATAAACACACATGAACATGAACAGCCATAGGACACCAGAATCTGCCCTGTTGGTCCTCCTAGAATAACTCCCTTCAGCAGTGCAGGGATAGCTTTGTACAAGACATGCCAGCTTTGCATATGGAGTGGTGTGCTGTGTCCTCCTACGCGGCTTACCTGCAGAAGGCCAGCAGGAGGTTCTGTCCTTGCAACAGGCACCTCCACACAGTGCAATGCTGAGACTGCTTGGCTGATGCAGACTGCTTTATTATGAAATGGTGCATTTATTATGGTGGTGCATTATTGTGAAAGTATCACCTTGACTAGAGATTTTGAGAAAACATGAGTAAAATTCAGTGTGAATTTTACACCAGCAATGCAGGTGTACCCTGAAGGCTGCTTCATTTCCTGGGGTCTGGCCCATGTAGAGGCAGGCAATGTTTCTTATCATATCTACCCTGAAATGCCATCAGATGCCTGAGGTGTTAGAGTGGTGGGAACTGATGTCGTGCCCTCAGTCAAGGCCTGGGACAGAGCACCCATTTCCCACCCAGAGAGCTTTGCAGAGGCCTGTGCATAGTCCCCTGCTCAGGGCTGTGGATCATTACAGAGCTGTGCTCCCATGCCACTGCCAGGTGGGGTTCAGGTGAGGTGTCCTGGACTTGAGATGACTGACAGGTGATTGTAGCTGACTCTTCTTCCTGTGTCCTGCCCAGGATGATCTTTCTGTGCCTTTACTGGAGGAGGATCTGGATGGCTCCTCAGGACTACTGTTTCCCATCTATGACCCTGACACACACATGCTTTATGTGGTGGGAAAGGTAAGTGCTTCCCACATCAGCAAGTGCAGGCCTGTTTGATTCTGATGTCAGCCTGTGTTGTGACAGACTGAGGTCAAAGATGCTCCTCAAGCATGTTAACCTAAGGACATGAGCAGATGGGGTGGGGCCAGAGGGTGTTTCATCATCAGGCTACATTTACCATGTTTACAGGTGTACCATGTTTATTGTGGAAAGGTACACAGCTGGGTCCTAACCTTCCTGTATAGGAATTTAAGGGTAAACATTTGGTTCATTGTTGATCCTGCATGGCTTCTTGGGGCCAGGAATTCTTCTCAGACTATCATGCTGAACAGCAGAGTCCGGCTGATGCTGATTTTCTTTGCCTTCAGGGTGATGGAAACATACGGTACTATGAGATAAGCCCTGAGAAACCATATCTGAACTACCTGATGGAATATCGTTCTCACTTACCACAGAAAGGAATTGGTGAGTGGCATGACATTATGTAAGTGTAATGTTACAAGAGGACTGTGGCTTTATTTTAAAGGCTGCCAGAGTAGGACTATTCAAAATACCATTTAGAAAAGAGAATGGGTCAGGTTCCTCCACCCAGGTTTACAGACCCTTACAGTCATCTTGGCCCAGCCCACCCAAATATGACAGCGTCAGAGCCTGGAAAGGGCCCTTCTGACCAGCAGAGCATGGGCTGGGAAGTTTTACCAGTCACTGCTGCATCTCCTCTCACATACCTGGTCATGGTGGAAAGGAGGATAGTCTGGATTTAAAGGTGGAGAATGCTCCTTGCCATTTGTCAATCTGCTTCAAGATTTTTGTTGTTGAACTCTTATTTCCATCATTCCCACTCTGTGACTTCTCTGGTAACAGATGCTTCACTGCTTAATGGCTTCAGTCTTTATTGCTTGTCTACCTTCTTTTTTACTGACATTTCCTATTTAGAAAAATATATGTACTGTGATTAGGTCACCTCTCCTCCTTTGGAGACCCTTGCTTATTAACCTGTCTATGTATTACCCACTGTTTAACTAATTCAAGTCACAGAATTTAGCTTTCAGCCCTCAGACCTTATTGTTAACCCTTTATTGAACCTTCTCTAATCTACTCTATGAGTCATATTCCTCTACATGTTTCTAGGATCATTAACACCCCTCCCCACTACCTGTGGACTCTCCTGCTCTTAGAGGACGTTGGTACAGGTATTTGGCAGCACTGAATTTTTTGCCTGAAGGTTGCCTTAAAAAAAATTAAAAGGAATATATTATTTAAAATTTAACTGTAAGGATCTCCTCATTATCCAGTTTTTATAATCCTTCCAGTACAACATCCTTATTTCTCATTGTCATAATCTCTTTAAAAATAATTTCATGGAAAGGAAGTGTAGAAGTGTTTCTAAAATGCCTAAGTGAATCATGTCTGCTTCCCTATCCTGCTTTGTTCAGCTGATCAAGCATACTGCTAAGGTTATTGTACAAAACTTCCTTTTCCATGTTACTGAAACAAAATACTGTGTGGAGGAGTGGAGTTTAGATTCACTTTTAGAAGAATGCATAATGTAAGGAGCAACAGTTCTTCATGTAGAATCTGCTGCTTAATGAAGTCACTGGGTATTAGTAAGGATAGGAAATTAGAAAACTAAGCTTGGGTCGCATGAAGCAAGGTCTACTAGCGTAGGGAATCTCTCTTTTTAAGAGAATTGACATGGATATAACTTTGGACTGTACAAGCTAATGGGAGAGAAACCCACTGAGGTTATCAGTTTGTGCCTAAAGTTTACCCCTAATTGAGAGACCCTGCGTGGCTTAGTCAGTCCCTAAAACACAAATGGGCAGAACAGATGTTCGCTCCCTTCTCATTCTCATTTCTGTTTTGGGACAGCGCTGGGGGAGGATACTTGCCTGGTAGGTATTTCAGCCATATATAGCTATTCTGGTGCTGTTTAGGTGTCTTGAAATCCCTTCCTAGTGATCCTGTTACTCACATCCTGTGGCATCACCTGCCAGTTCTGTTCTGTTCTTGCCACTCTATTTGGAGCCATTAGAATGAATAAGGAACAGGAGGCTTAGCATGAAAACCACACACCCTGTATGTAACAACATCATCTGACATGAAAAAAAAAATTGTTTAGTCTTGTCATTTGTGCCATTGAGCCAGTTTTGGATATGGACCTCAAACCATGCTGATGTGGTGCTGATGCTATGACTCCTTTCATTGTTTGATGACCCTTTTCACATGGCTGATGACATTACTTTCCTGAGGAGATTTATACTCCATTCATTTCATGCTCTTCCCCCAGGAGTGATGCCAAAGAGAGGTCTTGATGTGGCAGCTTGTGAAATTTTCCGTTTCTACAAACTGATTCCAACTAAAAACCTGATTGAGCCCATCTCCATGATTGTGCCTCGACGGGTAAGTCAGCCTTAGATCATGTTCATATCTGAGGCAAATATCAGTGGAAAAATAAGGGCACTGCCTCCACTCTGTGACTATTGAGGGCAGGAGAATAGGTAGAACAAGAGATTTTCTCTCTCCTGGCATGAGGGACATAGCTGGCCAGTTTCTGGGGCAGCCCTGCCAACAAACCCTATCTGGGTAACTCAAGAGTTATTCAGGAGTTATGTCTCTATTTAATGTCTGACTTTCCAAGACATGCTGCCAGGCCTGCTAGCTGTCTGTAAACTTCTTCAATATAATCTGTTTGACATAATGACAAAAGAGGGAGAGGGGTTGGAGCTGATGTTGGGTGGCATAAAAATCTCTGTGGAAGGAGGAACAATCACCCTGGTAAAACATGAATTATGAATTCATGCGTCTCCACCCCTTGGGTAGAACTGTGTTACAGATAATTGCTCTGCAGCATGTAAGGTACAACCCTTTGCACTGGGTGATGTAGGAGTAAGTTTCAGAGCTGATGTCATTATAGAAACTGTATACAATTATCAGTTATACAGTTATACAGTTTGGCTATCTGTAGCTAGCCAAAGTAGCTCTCGTGTGACTGTGAGCATAGGTACATGGTACATGGGAAATGTCAGTACTGTGCTCTCTACTTCCAGAAAGTAGAATGTGAAAAGAAGGTATGAGTTCCTTGAATTCAGAGACACAGGAACTTCCAACCAGGTGTGTTCCTCCAGCTTTATCTCCCTGGCTAGCTTCTGTCAGCTCATGATCAACTTTTTGATGCTTTGTGACTTGTCCATCTTCTGTATCCATGTATTCATCCTTAGGAACATGATTTCATGAGAGTTGAGTTGGCCTATGTTAACCTCCCCTAGTCTGAAGACCTTACTGGCATGAATTAAATTAGGCCTTCAGATGCAATTCTTCCGAGTTGAGGTGAGGAGCAGAGAGGTGCAGAGCAGGTGAAAGGACTTTATTGCTGTGCCAGTGAGTGCTCATGACACTCTCTGTGCTGAAGGGGGATAAATTAATTTCTCCACCACAATCCAGTATGACCTCTTTAAGCCAAAATCTCACTGACATAGTTACTCTGGACTTCTGTTTGTTTCCAGTCGGAATCATACCAGGCAGATATCTACCCCTTGACTGCAGCAGCCCAGCCAGCACTGACAGCACAAGAATGGCTCAACGGGATTAATAAAGGTCAGCACATGGAGAGCTCCCCAGCCCTTCAGCTCCCCAGGGCTTGGGTAAGCTGCTGCCAGCTCTCTGGCCTATTACCTGCCAGAGAAAGAGGAAAGATGGAAAAGGAGAGACATAGTAAACATGGCTAGAAGCTAAAATAACTTGGCGGTTACTTACTTACAACTTACAGGTGGTTAATAACTTACTGCTGTAAAGTTTGGAAGCTGCTCGGGTCAGGTGTCTCCATGCTTATCTCTGATTGCTCACAGCTTGATTTCTGGGTGTGGTTTGTGAGTGCTCACTTGTCTCCTCCCTCCCTAGGGCCTCTCTTGGTATCCTTAAGACCAGGCTCTAAAGCTGTGAACTCCCCACCACAGTTTCTTGAGCCAGAGCCACTCCCACAAGCTACTAACGCGAACCAGGAAGAAGAGGAAAGTATGTCAGTGGAGGACCAGCAAAATCCAAGAGAGGCTCAAGATGACAGAAGTTGGATGGAAGTGGAGGAGGAACTACCAAAAAATGAGCAAATGTGCTTATCCAATGGATTTGACATATTTGAGTGTCCACCACCAAAAACTGAAAATGAGGTATGGATGTCTGGGGTGAAGTGTGGCCAGAGGAGAAGCCCAAAGCCAGATGACAAAAGGATACCATTCACATGGTGGCAGTTCAGGGAGGGTTTATTTTGCAGGCCTATTGTCAGTGCAAACTCTTTGTTCTTCATGGTGCCAAAAGCTTTGCCTGCCACGTGGGAAGCAGAAATGTGGCCCAACAACAACCCAGCTGAGGGGATCTGGAAAGGATTGGGCAGTCAGCATTTTAACTTTCTGGGCATTCTTGTGGGATAGACCTCCCTGGTGGCAGGCTGGGGACAAGGAGGTCCTTGTGACTTCCAGGTTCTTGAGAAGAGAAGGGGGTTTATGCAGGATAACCCTTTGATGAGCCAAAGGCTTGCAGTCAGTAAGCCTGGTAAGGCAGCAGGGATTTCTGTGAAAGGGGTGGGTGTACCCCTGGTGTTTCCATGTAGTCTTAGCTGCCTAACTCTGTTGTGGACCCTGACATGAGAAAGAGTCTGCCTCTGCAGCTCGTTGCTGAGGGGCAACTTGTTGGTGCAGTGCTGATGAGGTTGGCTGCTGGCTGCAGCATGTACCTGGGAAAGGCTCTAGAAAAGGTCCTGGCAGCTCTGTGATCTGTCTTTAGTCATGGAAAACATGCTATACTCTCTGTATAGTAATCAAAGCTGGCACAGTGGTACATCTCTGTGGTGATTTGTCAGCCTCCCACTGCTGGCAGCTCAGGGACATTTTCAACTACATGTAGTGTTTGCTTTTAGAAACCCTGGAATAATTTTCTTTCCAGTACAGGGGACCTGTTCTGAGGTTCTCTTTCATCTCTGCAAGAATTTAGCATGTGCACCTTGATAGGGCAGGCATTTCCATATCTGAATTTCCCTGTGGTGTGAAAAAGGATATTTTTCCATATGTTTCTGAGCTGGTACCCCAAGGTTACAGAGGCAGTGCTTGCAGAGTTGGGTGCTCTGCTGCATGCATGTAGTGACAGACTATGCTAGTCCCAACTGCAAGAGAAAAAAGGACTTTTCCAAAGTCAGAGAAGGATATATGGCAGAACCAGGAATTTAGACTCCAAATACATTGTTGGTGGCTCCTTACACAGGGTACCAATTGACACATGATTAACACCAAGAATGATTTCAAGTATTGGCACTTTATTATTCCCCAGTACAACCTTTTACAGACTGTTTCTCACATGCACAACACCTGCATGCCCTTTTACTCTTTTGTGATTGCTCAATGCAAATCAGCATTCTGTGCTCCTTTTCCTGTAATGATGTTCACCTGTCTTACACAGCTGCACTCTACTAGGGATGAGGCTCAGCCCCAGCCCCATGCCCTGTGTTTCCCTACACAAATACTTTATGTGAAACACATGCAGTCACAGCCCAATCTAGTGGACAGCAGGAGCACTGCTGATGTTGTCAGTCAGTGAAAGGCCTCCTCCTTAGATGTGTCTCTCAGAAGTGATGTGACAGCTCTGGTGGGTGGGATTGTCAGGCTGAGCCTATGTTTTCTTAGTGTAAAGTAAATAAAATGTGTGTTTTCTTACAGCTTTTACAGATGTATTACCGGCAACAAGAAGAAATCCGTCGACTACGTGAGTTATTAATCCAGAAAGATGTCCAAATGAAACAGATGGAGCTGGAGCTCAGAAACGTCTTAATGAACACAGACAATTAATGAGGTTGCTGGCCTGCAGCCCTTTGTGCCCCTAGACACAGGGGGAGGCTCCAGTTCCTGCAGATAACTCCTCCTAGGTTTTTTACTGGGGGTAAAATTGGTATTTCAGGCAGCATGGACTTCCCTGGCTTGTGGTGGTCACATTTCCGTAATCATCACCAGACAGTTTTTGATGGATTTCTGCGCTTTTTCAGGCTCCCCTTGCTTGTCTGCTCACCAATGTCAGAAGCTTGTGTGTTAATGCTAGTGAGAGACTTTGGAAAATCTTGCTCTTCTGGCCCTGGAGAAGCTACATGTTAAGCTCTAGGAATGACCTGTTTTGCTGCCCCTCCATGTGACAGGAGAATGGGAGACTGAAGGCAGCTACCAGCTTCTTTTCTCACCCTAGGGCCCAGCAGTGTAGCTCCTGTGGCTGCTGTCCCCTTGCCCAGGGACTCTACTCTGCTGAGCTTCAGAGGTACCTCTAGCTCCAAAGTGATCCTTATGCACCTCTCTCACCTGACAGCTTGGCCCTGCCCCCAGGTGGTTCGGGAAAGCTGTGGCTGCCCTGACCTGGTGCTGGGGATAGTCCCGCTCTTGAGTGGGAGGCTGCACCGGGGGTGCCAAGGGCCAGCACTTCTGTGATAGGAAAAGGAGAGTTGGTGTTGGAGGTCCTACTTTAAAAAGGTGATGGTGTGGACTAGTTCTCACCAGAGAAGCTGAAGTGTCTCTATGTCCTGTGAGTCAGTGGCCTTCTTTCCCTCCTTCTGCCAAAGACCAGCTGCAGTCAGCTGAGGGTCATCAGAGATATGAGGGCAACATTTAAAGCTGCACAGTGTTAACAATGGGGGAATTTGCCAAGAGGGTTTAAGAGGATTAGTGGGGAGTTGGACCCCCCAGCCCACTGCAGGCGTTTCAGCAATGGTGCTAGAAGTGTGTCAACCACAGTAAGATCACAGGACAGTGGCCATTCATGAACAGCCCTCCAGGGTTGCTGGAATATCACTTGTCCTTAATGCCTGCAACTGCTGCTTCCTTAGCTCACAGGTGCCAGCACCTTTGACCCATTCCTGCAGCCATCTACAGCTGCAGGTTTCCTCTGTGTTGTCCAGCCTCCTGCATCCTCCCAGACTGCTCAGCCTTCCTCAACCCTGTGGCCACACTGATCTGTGCCCTTCAGCACCAGCTCTCTGACTTGATGCTGGACGTTATAGTGATGTCTTAAACCCAGGCAGAGCAAGCAAACACTGTTTAGCCTGTAACTGTGCACCTCCATTGTGGCACATAGAAATCACGGAATCAGCTAGGTCCAGGGGATATGTCTAGGACAAATCCTTGTCACCAGATGTGTTTTATTGGCCTTTCTTTTTGCTTATTTTTTTCATACAAAATAAATTATTTAAATTATTTCTAAAGCAAAGTAATTTTTCCAGGGGATTTTTACATCCTCTTGAGGACTGGTTCTTTGTTATTCTATGACTGACTAGCATAAAGAATGATTGGCCACTATGATTTTTATCCTAGAGTTGTGTTGATTTCTGCATTTATGGAAGAGAAGGTGCTTTCATTTTGGCTTTGGTGAGACTATTTAATGAAAACTTCTTTTTTAGACAGTATGCCTGTAAAAGCGTGGACTGTGAAATGTATTTAAATTTGGAGCTTAGCTGCAACCGCTAATCTTTCACGTGGAAAAAACCTTGAGAAAATGGAGTTATGTGTTCATGATCTGTGCCTAAATAGTCTTGAGTGATCATTCTAACTGTTTCTAAAACTCCAAAAAGCTTTGTAAAAAACTGTTGAACATGGGGATAAAAACCAAATCTGTGCAATGAAAAGCAAATATAACTGAATAATAAATATATTTAGAGTTTTACTTTTTGATACATGCAAGATTGTTGTTTTATTATTGTGTTGTTCAACTGACTGAAGCTGAATCAAGGTCAGAAAGGAGCGTCACCTACTGTCTCTGTCGCTTGCGTCAGGCTGTGGCCTTACATTAGTAGGTGGATTGTACACAGTGTTATGCAGATGGCCCTGTCTTTTTACATCTTTCCCAGTTGCCCTTGATGCCACAAAGGGGTGGCTGTTCCACAATGTTCTGAGGTACTGTGTGTGTTGCCTTGAGTAAACTCAGTCCTGCTGGAGATGCATTCTGTGTGGTGAGGTGTTTGCTGCTGTCTTGCAGTCCTGGCTCTTCTCTTATGCAGTACATTCTGACCAGGCTGTTTTAGATATTTCACATAAGGAGGGTTTAATGTGTTATTACCAAATTTGCTTATTTGAAGACTGGATTTTAATTTAGCAGACTGAAGCAGCATGGACAATACAAGCACAATATAACAGCTTCAACCTTCAGCTAGATCACAATGCAAACAAAACTCCCATTACACTTACTGTCATGATGCTGGATATCTCCAATCACTGGAAAAAAAATGTGTGGGCTGAAGCCAGCTCAAGTCTGTAACTCTCTTTAAAGCTTATTTTGTTGTTTTTGTTTTACTTTGTTTTGCTCTGATTCCCACAGGCATGGTAGCCACGGTGAAAATCTGAAGAACCATTGCCTGTGCTCATGTCCTTGGAGCTGTCTTTCACTGTAACGGTTTGTTGATCCATTACAGCTTTGGGCATGGAAATGTTCATGGCTGCATTCAAGATGTAATTTGAAATGTTGTTTGTAGCATATTTTAGGCCACTGTAAGGAGAAAAAAATGGTGGAAATTGCTGGAGGAAGACTGTGCTGAAAACTTTGTGCACCTGCCATGTCATCAGGACACTATGACCTCCTGGTCTTGTAAGGATCCTTGAGCTGCTGGTGAGGGTACTGGGCAGGCACTGTATCCCTCCTAAGGGGCCAATACAGTCCCATTGCTCTGAGCAAAGCCTAGAAAAAGGCAATAGCAGGCAGATTAGCGTGGGAGGCAGAGGAAGTGCCTGCAGTGCCTTTGCAGCTCTGGTGTTATGGCTGCTTAATCTCAAAGAGAGAGTAAAAGACAGCCCTGCAGTGTTAGCTTGCCTGCTGGATTTGGAGCCAAAACACTTCACATTCTACTTCACCTCTACTCCAGCTGCCAACTGCAGAATAAAACCTAGACAATAGTTGTCATTCTCATTTGATTTCTCATCTTGGAAGGCTGTACCCTTGGAGTGTTCAAGGAGCTGCAATCAGAGAACATAGAGATGATGTGCCCCCTTATTTACACTGCAGTAGGAAGCAGCAGATCACCCTTGATGGTTTTGGGCTGGGTTGCATCCATCCCTAGCACAGGGTGGGTGCGAGCTGCAGGGGGGCACTGAAGTGAAGTTGCAGTATCAGGAATTGCCTCTTGGACATGCTGCAGCACCATTTCAGAGCGGGATCTCTGACTTGTGCTGAAGACACTGCAGTCTGTCTACAGCTTATCTGTGCTGAGGAGCCCAGGACTGGACTTGGTACTCCTCACATGGCCTCACCAGCACTGAGGGTAGAGGAAGAACAAATTCCCCTGAGCTGCTTTTAATACACTTCTAAATACAGCCAAGGACAGTGTTGGTTATTTTTGCAGGAAGCCAGCATTGCTGGCTCAAACTCAGCTTACTGTCCAGCAGGACCTCACAGAACTTCTCTGCAAAGCTGTTTGTCAGCTTCACAAGTCCCCAGCATGTGCCAGTGCATGGAGCTATTCCTCCTCAACTGCAGGACAGTGCAATTGCTCTTGCTGTGCTTTATCACATTCCTCCCTGCCCAGCTCTGCATTTCTCCTGTTGAAGCTCCCAAAAAGTGCAGCACAACTGTCTGCTGCACCTTTCACTCCTTCCACTTTTATATTCTCTCTAAACTTGCTTGAATCTGCACTGTCCCATCCTGGAGGTCACTAAAGGAGAGTTTCAACAGCTTTGGATTTGTTTTGTAAACAGTTTTTGGTTTTCTGCACAGAAATCCAGGCTGACTACTCCTGAGCACCTTCTGATTCTTCACACTTTCAGAAATTCTCTCCACGAGGATTTTCTCCAGCATCTTCCAAAGGTTTGCAAGAAGCTGCAGTTCATTCATCTTCCTTACACAGTTAGGAGGCAGGGCTGAGAGTCAGCCTTTTGCAACTTTTCCTACTCACCTCCACCTTCAAAGAACACTGAGGATGGCCTTGCAATGCCACTGGCCTTCACCTGCCTCAGCACATGGGTCAAGCCCATCTGGCTCCACAAACCTGTGTACATATAGGGTGTTGAAGTATACCTTAACCTGTTCCTCCCTATTTTGATTGTCCCTAATCTGGTATACAGCAGGTATCTACTTATCTACCTCAACAATATCCGTTCTTCTCTGCCAGCTTTCCCTCTCCTTAGAACCTGGTTATGTTCTTCAGATTCTCACCATGGCTGATGTGCTTGTGGGGATCAGAAGTCTGCTATGAGCAGCAGCTGTGCAACCAGCAGTTCATGCATGTTTCTGCTGAGTCCTCTTTGGGCATAATGGAGAAAACCACTTGGGTGTCTGTGCTCTTCAGCAGTGCCCCTCAAGCCTGCTAGTTATGATTATACACTGGATAATTCTCAGGTCACCCCTGGTGGTGTCTTTGGCACACATATGAAAAGGCACCACTGTAGAGGAGAAAGCCAGATAAACCTTGGTATCCTCTACGCAACATTCTCAAGAAAAACCTCACACAAGCAGCAAACCTCCCTAAATGATAAATCTGATCAGCAGATATGGGGCTTCTGACCTCTGTAATGGACAGCAGTATCCTCTATCACTTATCACTTATCACTTCCAGTTGTTTTAAGTGGCTCAAATGCACCTAGGAAACCCCTTTCTATTGGTCCTGACAAAGCTGGGACAGACTACATGGTTAGAACTACCACACTAAAGATTCTACAGCTCTGAGCTACTGGCAATTGCTGCAAAGTAATCTCTCCTGAATAAAATCTTGGTGCAGAATTAGAGGAAAAAAGTTTCTGAGTTTAATTTTCTGTGTCACAACGTGGCAAAGGTTATGTCCAGTTCTCTCCAAATTTGTTTGTGGAAAAATGATGCACAATAATCT